ATTCTCTACTCATGTAGTTTTGTTGCAGGAGCCAATAAATATTTATTGAGAATTTTTTTAAGTCAATGTCATGTTGTTGCAGTCAACTCCCCTAGCTTCTACCATAAAAGAAGATGAGAGTTCCACATGGGGAGTTTGGTGGACTCTAGTGACTTCTGCAAAGTCATGCTGTGCAGGCTGTTGATGCTTTATAGTTCCAGATTCAGAGAGTGTGCATGCTATTCTACTACAGGGGCTGTGATATTCAGTCAGAAGATTTTCTCTCTACCAGGACATTCTTGGAAGGTCAGAAATGTTAGATTACTATGATATAGGGACAAGGGAAACACACTCTACTTATGATTTACTCTCCATCTCTTATTTGGCTTGAGCCCCAGGGCTTGATCTTCCTTTCCAAGTGTATCTTCCCTAAGCAAAAGGCATCCTCCTTAAGGAAAAGAATAGAGGCATTACAGTAGAATTTTCCTTGGCTCACAATAGGTTAAGCTGCAAAATATTTTCCTCTAATGGAAGATTTTGTATGAGAAATACACAGATACTCAGGACTTTTTCAAAATAAGGATATTTCCTCTCCTCGACAGGAAAGACATGGATATTTTGACTGGGTTTGCTCATTTATCTTGAGAATCAAACCGAGCTCCAGACATTAAAGCTTATTTTTAAGAATTTTGACTTTCACAGTTTTGTGTATTGAGCTTCTAGAAATTCATTATAGTTGAACTGATCCTACAAGGATTTTTCAGGGATCGACTCTGCTGCTAATGAACTTATATCCTCTGTATTAGGGAACTTCAGAAAACTTCATGGAAAAAAATAAACTTGAATGAGTTTTTTGGACTCCAAATTTTGGCCCTGTAATTTTTCATGATATGCATTTCCCATGAACTTTTGGGTGGTCTTCCAATTTGCCTGCTTCTCCATTGTTGGCGGCATTTCCCCTGCTTTCAATTCTTTGATGTCTGCAAGAAAAGTTGTTGGTCTTCAGTTATTCATGTTTTGTCTGGTTGTGAGAATGGGAGAAACAACTGCTAAACTTTTTAGAAGTTGGACTGAAAGCCTAATAGGAGGTTTTTCTTTAACATTTTTACCAAAGAGAATTAAAGAAGTAATTTTTTAACCTCACACTAACTTATTCCAGTTTTAGCTGTTTCTTTTCCAGAGCTTATAAATGTTTATGTAATAATTCCATTACTTTGCAGAATTTGTGGTTTCTCCACCCCTAAGCAAGGCAAGTCCAGAGGCAGTCAGGAAGCAGTTGGAAAGAGCTTGTACTGCTGCAAGACCCAGGAGGCCCAGGCAACAGTAACTATAGGGTTATCTAAGGAACCTCAAGAAAGTTAATTATAGGTATAGGTGTAAAAATCAGTCATACTTATTTGAAAATTGAGCAATGAGAATAACATTCAAAATCAAATATGCTTTAACATGAAATGGATAATAATAAATGAATTCCATATCAACATCAGCAAACTTCTTTCTATGTTATATAACTTCCCTCTCTCTTGCTCCTTCTTGCTCTCTAATGTCCTTGTAGTAAGCAACCTCTTAGGTGATACTCTGCGATCCTTCACTCATTCACATGCTTTTATAGGCTCAATTTCCTGACTTGTTTTCAATATATAACTGTCCCTCTGTATCAACTGGTTCTGCAATGGTAGATACAACCTAACATGGATTGAAAATAATTTTTAAAATGATATTGACATGCATAGTCTTATTCTTGCCATTTTTACCTAAACAACACAATATAACAATTAGAAATTGTAAGTTAGAGAAGATTTAAAGCATGCATGTGTGTGTGTATTGGTTATAGTTATATGTATCTATGTATCCATCTATCATCTATCTGTCCATCCTTCCATACATCTATGTAGTTAAATGTGGGGCTCAGGGGCAAAGAGGTCACTAAGTCAGCAAGATGGCGACTAACAGTCAAGGTCACTGGCGGGCAAGATGGCGGCCAAAGACAGAGCCCTGGGCGTGAACCAGGACAGGGTTGTTTCAGAGAAAGACTGACTGGCCAGGGCCATTTTGCTCACCTGCCCTGGCCTGTGGGAGGTGGCTTCTGCAGTCCTGCTCTTAGTAATTGGCTCCTAGTTTCTCCCCTCCTGGAATTCCTGAAATTCCTGGCCTGAGGCTATCCCTTACCCTACGTAAGTAATTGAATTTCCCCAATAAATCGGAACTGCTTAGACGAACCCCTGTCCGTCTGTTTGTATCTCGTGGGCTGGGAGGCTCATCCCCTTTGGCAACGGGGTACTAGAGGAATCTGTGGGGGAGACCCCGCAGAACTGGTGCCCAGTGTGGGACATGAAGGCTGGACCTTTGGACCCCCCACTGTGCAGCTTTGAAAGAGAAGTGAGGAATGGCTGGCAAACAGCTTCAGCGTAGCATCTTCCAAGAGAAGCACGTTGTCGGAGAAGGGGTGGCTCTTCAGGTGACCTCAAAGAAAAGAAGGCGACCTGAGGTACAGTATTCCTCCTCTCAAGCGGGAGTGTACCCTGCGGAAGTGACCCTTGGCACCTCACAGCTGTGCACGAATGTGGGGACTCCCTGGCCATTACATAGCTACTACCGAATCCCCTGAGAGGTTGTAAAGGAAGGGAGGTGTTAGGCGCCCCATTGGCTTCTATCCTATGCTCTCATCTTCTGCTTTGAGTGAGGATCATGAATGCATGCCTCTGGGGTGAACCTGTCTGAGGAATGATGGTTTCTGACAGAGGCAACACCTTGGCGTTACCCAAAACTCTGCAGGGGATCCCCTGGGCCCGACAGCCCAACTGGGTATCCGAAAGCCACTCTCCTCTCTACTGTCCTTCTTAAGCCATGGGCAATAATGGTGGGGAAATTGATGATCCTGCTCTTAAGGCTCTAAAATACATGCTGAAGTCCTGAGGGTTAGAAATCTCAGATGCTCAGGCAGTGAAGGTCTGAGGGACCATGGTCAGATTGGTACTCTGGGTAATATTGGTTAATTTATTTGCCTGTGATACTTGGGAACGGAAGAGCAAAACTGATGCCCAGAAAACTGTCCCTGGCCTACCTCAGCCGCCCCCAACAAGAGCTTATGGGAAGCTCAGAGGGCAGGAAACCACCCCCAGTTTAAGGGGAGTTGAGAGAGCACAGCCCTGGTTGCAAGCCTTCTGGTGGGATGCTAGGAGCTGCTCCAGGCCTTTCCAGTTATATCAACCCTGAATGGAACCACCCAGGGGCATGATATCCCTGGAATGCAGGAGATTTGAGAAAGCCGAGGCAGAATTGAGCCTAACTTGCCATGGGCTGAGACTAGTCTTCCGGGTCTTGCCTACCAACCCTGTACTATGGCAGATTGTATAATACTACCTTGGGAGCCTGTACAACCCAGGAATCACAACTAGTCTGGGGAAAGGTAAAAGAGCTTTTAGAGAGAGCTAACATGAATGTCTCCTCAGAGGAGGTGCAAATGATTCTCTCCTTTTTTAAGATTTTAGGAACAGAGTTATGTTTTGAAAAGGCCTCCTCCTTGAAACCCCAGCTAAGCGTTAAGGAATACCATTCACTAGTAGAATTTCAAAAGCTCCTTGGAGAGGTCAGTTGGCTACGCCATTGGCTACCTGTGTCTACGGGGCCATTAGTTCCATTATTTGAAAAGGCAAAATGCTAGGGGACTGAGTTTCCCTCATCTACAAGCCTTACAGGATGATAATCACCCCTCTTATGGCACTGATCAGGTCTAACCTACAGTATTCATTAACATGGTCAGTTAAATGTTAAATGTACCTTTTGTTTAACTAATTTATACTACTAAATTCTTCAGAGTTTGAAATCAAGTCTCATGACTTTGAAAGTTCTAGTAGGATCCCTGGAACTCTCAAGGATTGAGACAAAATTTGGATAATATAATTGCCATTTTAAATAATTTGGATTATAATCTCACAATATCATAAAATTATGCTAAATTTGTTGCATCATATATGCTATTAAACTAAAAGAGTATTTATGTGCATTGGTCAAAATGTTTCCTAATAATGAAATTGGTCCAGATTGTACATTATTTGTGCTCTTATTTACAAAGAAGTATGTGAGATTTTGTTTTACAGGAAAACAACAAATTCTTTAAAAATGTATAGTAAAATTGGTCATAATGTATATAATTTCTGAATGTTTGCCTTTAAAACAATGGAATTGAAGTCTGATTCCTTGTGAAGAACAACAATAATTTAACATCTCCTTTTAAGTTTTTTTTCATCTTAATGATAACTAAACCTGCTAACTAGCTTTAGTAAATTATTAGGTAGCCTTTTAAGACAACAGTCAAATTGAGAGGAAGGTAATTTGAAAAAGTTGTCACTTCCCAGTTTTGACGCAGGTTGTGTTAAAATACAAATTTGGAGAAATGGTTGAGAATTGCTTAAAGCAACAGTATTTAAAACTTGGTATGCTTTCATTTAGAGAATGTCTTAAGTTGGAGTCTTACATGATTGTTTCAAAATGTAAATCAAGAAAATTAGCAGATCATTAAGGCAGAAAACTGCTTGTAGAATATTTTGTCCTACAGAACTATGGCTGTCATAGAATGGAAAAGGAAAGCTGGGACAAAATACTTAAAGGCTTAAGCGTGTTGAGAAATGAACCTTGTAACCTTTGCATATATAATTGTCTATACTTTTTAAGATGCTACTACAACGTTGTTTAAGTGTTGAATGTTAATACCTACTGTATGCTGACATTAGATTTAAGTGTGCATACATAGGAATGCTAGTATATATCTGAAAATTTTCAGAGGAGGGGTCTGGCGTGATAGCTTAGCAGTTAAAGGATCCAGTGCAGTAGCCAGTAGCTACAGTCCTTACTTTGAAATTGCCAGGATGCCATATGGGAACTGGATCTAATCCCAGTGGCTCTGCTCTCCATCCAGTTCCCTGCTTGTGACCTGGGAAAGCAGTCAAGGACAGCCCAAAGCCTTAGGACCCTGCAGCCATGTGGGAGACCCGGAAGAGGCTTTGGAGTGGCTCAGCTCCAGCCATTGCAGTGCAAGAGTGTGTAAAATCCCACAGGTGGTTTCACAGTGCTATGCGAAATACAGATATCTCTACTTGTTTAACGTTTGATAATTCTAAACATAGATACTTTGTTTTCTAGTTTCCACAGGACCTATTGCATCCATTAAAGCTAAATAATAGTAAACAATAGGTATGGTTTGTTCAGGTTATGAAGAGCAAGATGTAATTCTAAGCAATTGGTAACTTTAAAACACTTAAGAGAAATTTCAAGTTTTGTTCTATAATGTACGTTACCTGGTACGCATGTACATGTTTATGCGGCAAGCTATGCCGTCTATTTTAATCGATAAAGATGAAAATGTTCATAAATGAGAATTGCTAAGCTAAAACGTTTTGAAAATCATGTATGAATGCATAATGAAGCTCTTGGAGAGTCGTGTCTGCTTCTGTTTTCTCAGGGCCTACAAAGTCTGTTCAGCTGTACAGTTCTGCACGCATTCAAACGGACTTACTTGTAAGGTTACGCTTTCAAAACTGGCCATGGGCTCCCCATGAGCTAGATGCATATGTAAGTAAGTGCTTGATGATAATTCAGATGTCAGGGAATATTTGAATGCTCCAACATGGGAAGCTACTCTTACAGCAGATTCAATCTTGAGTAGCACTTAGTGACTTCTTTGCCCCTGAGCCCCACAGTAAGGACTTGAGCATCTGTGCGCTTGCAGAAGCAGGACAGGCAGGGTCTTGGAACTAATATCCTGCAGGTAGTGGCAGGATGGGGAAGGGGCGTGGTTGTGCAGAATCCAGCCAAAATGATGAGGTGTCACTTCCCAGGTTAAATTATGAAGCTATGGTTTGTTTACCTCTTGGGCAGGTTCTCAAGCTTCCCAGCTCTGAGGAAATCCAGACTGTATGTGATCTCCCTTAGGGCACAATCTACACAAAAGCAACTCATGTTTCTGTGGAACAGTCAGCGAGTCAGTGAGGGGGGCTTAGGGCTGGAACGGAAGTTCTTCCTAAAGTCAAGCTTTTAGATAACAGTAGCCCTGACAGCAGTTGACTGTAGCCCAGTGACTAAGAACACAGGTTGGAAGGACCTATCTCAACTGTTCCTAGGTTCCTGGTACACATAAAATGGGAGGTAGAATGCATATTCGCATTTTAAAGCCACTAAAATTTTGTTATGTAACAATTAGATAGCTCTCCTGGACCTGGGCCGTTTTAGGCAACCAATTTTGAGGCTGCCAAATTTTGAGGCAACCAATGATGAAAATTTGGAACTTAAATATTCACATGATAGCAGTAATAACATTTCCAAAATTCTGAAGCTACATATTGTTCAAATTGCACACACTGTTGTTTTCAGGTTCAAAAACATGAATTCCAACAATTTCTGTCTTGAAGTTTTAACTGCTAGAACCTCAGAAAATGAGGTTGGAAAAGTGTGGGGTCATTTCAGAAAATTAGTTAAGGAGAAATCAGTTAAAATTAGTTAAGGAGGAGGGTAGGCACTAAATCTCATGACTGTTGTTATAAAAAGGAAAATTTGGACATAGAGACACATACAGGGGAATGCTGTGTGAAGCCATACAGGGAGAAGGTGGCTGTTTGCCAGCCAAGGGGAGAAGCTGGGAATTCACCTCCACCCAACAGGTTTTAGGAACCAGCCACATTGATTCCTCCTCAGAGACTTCTAATTTCCAGAACCACAAACAACACATTTCTGTTGTTCTGTCTCCCCAATTTGTGGCACTTTGCTAGGCAGCTGGAGAAAACCAGTACCGAGGTATTTCCTGAGTTGAGTATCACAAATTCTTCCAGTAACAACGGAAGGTCCTTTGTTGAAAAAGAATGTGAAGTCATGAAGTCACTTTCGCAGTCTATTTTTAAGGTACTAAGTTCTGGCAACCACGTGTTTCCTCTCTATAAATATTAGCACAGGCTCTGTTCTTCAGCAGTTGTTGGACTTCAGCATGATTACTTCTCAGCTGCTGGCTTGCAGGGCCGTTTTGCTTCTCTGTGTCTTGAAAGCCAGCTCCCAGGATACTTTCCTTGCAGCCGTATATGAGCATGCGGTGATTCTGCCCAGTACCACCCTAGAGCCAGTGTCTCGTGAAGAGGCACTGAGGTTAATGAATCGGAATCTGGATGTTATGGAAAGAGCGATTGCTTCAGCAGCAAAGCAGGTACCATTTCTCCTCTGTGCTCCCTTCCGTGACAAAGGGTGGGTCCAAGCAGACAACCTCATTGTCAGAATCAATAATACTTTGGATTGATGTGTGTTTCAACAGAGCCAAGAATTAAAAATTTATAATTAGAACCCTACATTCCAGGCAAAAGTATTTGAGCAAGGCCACTACTATCTTTCTTCAGCAGTGAGAACAGAGTTAAGACAGCCATGATCAGTAAGAGGCACCAGATTTCAAGAACGTGTTACAAATTCAATACCTCTATTCCTCTTTTCTGCTACAGATGGAGGACCGAGCAAAAAATGGTTCAGAGATGTGGTGTTACTCTTACAGTATTAGTAGCCTTGCTGTGTACTTCTGCTATTAAGAGTTTGCAGGTTTTTAAAATAAATTTGTAATCTTAAGACTATTATAATTGCATAGCAAATTAGAATTCATTTTAATTACACAATGAAATTACACATGTTAGAACATAGCAAGTTCTTGAACGAATGAAGTTTGAGTTTAAAGAAAATCATGTAAAAATTCACTTTACAGACTGGTTCACCTAAGTTATTCAAAGGTCAGATATATACCAGGAATACACGAAGTGTGCTGAGAATCGTGTATCATTCAATACATATTTTCTTATTTATGCTAATATTCGAACAGTTTCCCAAGGTTCTGATATTCATTTTTACCCGTAGTCTGACTATGCTCTGAAGCTGCATTGACTTTCCTGATATCTTTCCAATAAAAAGCTGCCCAAGTTAGCTTAGAAACCACCTGCAAACCCAGCATCGTGTAGGCTCTCAGTGTGTGGACTCCTCTTCTGAGGAATAGGATTCATGCTTGCAGCTCATGAAGGCTAGAGAAGTAAACAGAGAAACTTAAGTACTCACTCAGCCTGACACTGACAAAGTCAGGCATAGCAGCTGGCCAAGGTTCAGGCAGGCACTGCTATGGAATGAACTAGGTTTATAGTTAACAGCTGCAATGGGTCACAGAACGCGAATGGCCTGGGAAACTCCGTCAAAGAATGTTTATCAAAGAATTTAAAGTTACATTAAAAACAATGAAGGTAGAATTGGAAAGTGAAAAGCTCTTGGGAAAGGAAATAAATTATCAAAATATGGAAACAAAGAGTAAGATTGAAATGGGAGAACAAAGCCACCGTGACTTTTAGCCCTATAGTGCCTCAGTGCTTTTTGAAGTCTCTCTTGATTGTTTGCCTTTTTCAAAAGTATTTAATTAAGCTACATATTTAACAGGGTGCACATATTATTGTGACTCCAGAAGATGGTATCTATGGTTGGAATTTTAATAGGGCAACTCTCTATCCATATTTGGAGGACATCCCAGACCCTCAAGTAAACTGGATCCCTTGTAATAATCCTAACAGGTAAGGAAAAAAGGATTGTCAGAAATTGAATCATGAATATCAGCTTATTTTGCTTGAGAACATTTTCCTGATGGTCATTGCTTACATTCACCATCAACTCTAAGTTCCAGGACAGTTTGTTTTCCATCCACTGTGAATGTATCTCTAAGGAAAACGAACATGATTCGTGAAATTACAGGAAGCAGTACTCAAAAGGAACTCAAAGTCACCACAGTCAATGCGGGCATCTTTCTATTGAGAGGACGGGCTTGGAGAGAGGACAGGCAGAGCCTGCTTAGTGCCACAGGCGAATAAGTGCAAGAACAAGACCCAAACTCTCATCTTGAAAACTCTGTGAATAAATAACAAAATAGAGTCACATGTCAGTTTAGGATTAATTATTTTACTTTCTCTGCAAAACCGCTATCATTTTACTTCACATTCTTACTGAAATATCATAAAACACCAAGCAATATGTTTTCTGTGTCTCAGTTTATTTACCTTAAAGTTGATGTAACATGCTACCTTTGAGGATTGCTACAAGTGTTGAATGCATATGAAATTCAGTGCCTGTCATGTAATATACATGTTTATACCAAATGTTTGCTAATATTCCTATTGTTTTCCTATGTGTCACTGGGTTCTTTACTGAACCACTTACACATGCATAAGTTAGATATGGCATGAGGCAATCAGAGAAAAATATAATGATTGTTTTGATACAATCCAATTCTTCCCAAGCTTGTAGTTTTCAATAATAATTATAGAATATGCTGGGACTGAAGTCCTTTGAGATGTATAGAGCTGGCAAAACAACTCACAACAACCCAGGCTCAGTTTCAGCCTCTTAAAGCCAGAACACTTCATCTTTGTGTCTCCTGTGACTCATGCTCCCCCAGATGTTGAAACTACAGGTAGGCTGCTTTCTGGGAGTTCCTCTGCTGTGATGCAAGAGCAGCACGCACAGACAAAACTCCAACCATCCTGAGCTCAGATTGCATCCTAAGCTTTCTCTGTATTCCTCAGTAATAAGCCTGCTCCACATAAAGAAAAATTCTCCTTTCTCCTTGGTAAGATAGAAGATGAGGTTAACACATTAAACTCCTTAAGGATTAAATTGATTGGGGGCAGCATTGCAGGTTAAGATCTATCTCTCTTTTCCATCTTTCTCTCACCCTGTAACTTCTTTCCAAATAAGATAAATAAGTCTTTAAAATTTTGAACTTGTTTTTGGGGCTTTTAACTGACCGGAACTTTACTCTGTTAGCCCTATCTTCAGACCAGAGAAGGTCTCCCCAAGAGGCCACTGAACTTATCTGGACAATAAGACACTGGACTTTATGCTAGGTATATGCTTGCAAGGAAGGAATCTCAACTGAACTTGAACTGTGGTTATGCAGCAAGGTGGAGGAATCCACCATGGGATAAGGGGTATGGGAGGGGTGGGGGGTAATCCCCAGTGCCTATAAAACTGTATCACATAATACAATGTTAATAACAATAAAAAAATTTTTGAACTTGTTCTTGGAGGGCAATATTATAGAAACATGTGAATGGTTCAGATCAAGTCAAGAGCAAAACAAATATGAAATGAAATTAAATCATCACTAGTCATTCAGATGTAAGCAAACCAATCTTATATGGTTAAGGGAGCATGTCAGCACATTTCTTTCTCTTTTTAAAAGATGTATCTGTTTATTTAATAGGCAGGTTTCTGGTGGTGGAGAAGGGACACAGAAAGATTGTCCATCTGCTGTTTCACCTCCCAAATGATAGAAAGAGCCAGGACTGGTGCAGACTGAAGCCAGGACAAAGAGCCAGGAGTCAGAAGCTTCCTCTGTATCTACCACATGGGTTCAGGGGCCCAAGCACTGGTTCACCCTCTACTGTTTTCCCAGGCACATCAGTGAAGAGCCAGATTGCAAGTAGATTAAACTGATGCCTTTTGGGATTTCAGCATTGTAGGCATCAGTATAATGTGCAATGCTGCAATACTAGCGCCAATACATTTCTTTTAACATTTATTATGGCTAAAGTTATATGGAAAATTCCTATTTTGGAACAAAACATACATACTAACTATTGTAGAAACAACCTGATTTTGACAAAGATCAATGTTGCTTAACTTAATCGTTCATTTTATACAAATTTGATTGCTTTATTTCTTATTTCACCATCTCCCATGTTGAATCTTCTATGCTTAAATACTGGGTATTCTATTGTCAGTTCAACTTTAAGTTGATTTGTTTTTGAATGACTTTTTCTAGAGCCTCTGCTTGCTAGGAGTCCCCACTTATTGTATTTCAAGATCCTGGTTATCCCTTCACATTTTTAAAAAGTGAATTAATGATATCTTCATTTTGTTGCTTCAAAACTTTTTTTTATTCAAAAACTTGGGGGTGGGGAGGTATATGATGTCCACGTGTTATGGTTGCAGTGTTTTGACTTTAGAATCCACGTTTATCCCATCTATGTAATCCTTTCTGCCCACCTGTGAGTCAAATGATGCTCACCAATCATCACCTGGAATCTCAGGGTGGGTGGTCTAGTGTCATTGTGTAGCCACTCCCCTCTCAAGTCCCTATAAAAGCCAGTGATGGGGATGGGCTCTCTCTTGGTCTCCTGCCTCCTACTCTTGCTTTCTTGCTTCCTGCCGAAGAACTCTAGGACAGAGGTAGCCAGCTCCCTCCCTTATCCTTTCCGTTTTTGGTACACTGTCCTGAGCATGCCCACTTATGTCTGTTTTCCTCAGTGTCTGAATAAACTGTACCACTTGCCTTAAGCTGTGCTGGTGCTTATATTTAAAATGCTTCTAAGTAAGAGGCAAGAACCTAGAAAACAAACATTTGGCCCCAAACCTAGAGCACAACACACATACTCATTAATAGAGTGAATAAAACATTTAAAAATTTCTGTCTGTATGGAGTTTATACTCTAGCGTGGGAAGAGAATACATAATTGGAAAGAAGGTAATTACACATCTGTGTCTAGGCAACTCATCTGTCTATGATATGTCATACCTCTTATTTCATATCTATGCTCAGTGCTCTGTCATGGAAGCCAGGAGCCTGGGACTCAGTTGCTCATGTGCATATTAAAAACCCAAGTTCTTGACTTGTCACCTGCTGTTGTCAGGTCTTTAGCAGGAAGCTAAAAGAATTGGGAAGCAGAACCAGAATTAGAATTCAAAGAATCTAACATGGTTATATTTTTTTCTGATTACAATTTTAACTGCTGTGCCAAACACCCATGCCCTCATACATTAAAAAAAAAAAAATTTTCTCCATGCTTCCCTTATTTCCTTGAGTATCTTTTTAAAAAAGATGTATTTATTTTATTTGAAAGAATTAGAGAGAGCTATCTTTGACCCACTTGTTTACTCCCCAGTTGGCCACAGTGGGCAGAGCTGGGCCAATCCGAAACTTGAAGTCAGGAGCTTCTTCCAGGTCTTCCATATGTGTACAGAGGCTCAAGTTCTTGTGCCATCCTCTACTGCTTTCCCAGTCTATAAGCAGGATTAGAAGTGAACAGCTGGTATCGAATCAGCACCTATATGAGATGTTGATGCTCAGGTGGTGGATTAGTCAGAAATGCCACCCTGCTGGCCTTGAATATCTTTTTTTAAAAAATAAAGATTTACAAATTAATTTGAAAGGGAGAGAAGAGAAGAGAAGAGAAGAGAAGAGAAGAGAAGAGAAGAGAAGAGAAGAGAAGAGAAGAGAAGAGAAGAGAAGAGAAGAGAAGAGAAGCCTTCTCTCTGCTGGTTCACTGTCCCAAAACTGTCAAAATGGCTGGAGATAAACAGCATGAAGCCATGAGCCAAGAACCTCTTCCAGTTCTCCCACTGGATGTAAGGGACCCAAGTACTTGGGCCATCCTCTGCTGTTCTAAGCACATTAGCAAGGAGCTGGATTGGAAGCAGAACAGTTGGAATGCCTATATGGGATGCCACCGTAGCAAGTAGTGGCTTTACTCACCGTGTCACAGAACTGATCCCATCTTGTGTACTTTTAAGAAAGTTATTTCAAAGTCTCTGTCTAGCAGATTTGTCATGCAGTCATTTTCAGGATTGGCTTCTGTCTTTGTTTTCTTTGAGTGGCTATACTTTCTTGTTTCTTTGTATGCAAAAACAACACTCTATGATTTGTAAACAAATTCCTGCTATCCAGAGGGCAGGGTTCTTATAGACCATCCTGCTTCCATGTACTTAGGAACTAAGCGCTGACATGAACAGAAATCAATTATGATTTAGTTTTCAAGATTTCCCCCAGAAATTGAAAGCTTTGGAGTTGACTCCAGTTTTCTAAGTTACTTACATCAGATTTTGCCAGTGGATTTGATGTCCAGGCAGGGCAATAGCTTCTTGGTGCTTCATTTTTCACTGTTCTTCCCAGGACCAAACTAATTTGAAGCTTTCATTCACTCTGTTGAAATACGTGTTCAGTGATGAGGATATGTGTGTTCATAATTCCTTTAGGATGCTGCAGATAATAGATGAACATATGTGTGATTATACTTATATGATTATGAACTATGATAGATGCTACGAAGGAAAAGCAAGTGACTTGATACATTATCCTGGGATAATGGTTCCGACAACCAAAGCCATGAACTTCCTCCCAATTCTCTTGTTCTCCTTGTTTTTCTCTACTACCTACTGTTATTTAGAATTTATTATTTTTTAATGTATCAAATAAAAGGTTCAGGTGATGAACTTAAATTTTACTAAAAACTAAACTTGAATTTAATTTTTCCTTCTTAATGAATAAATGTGTATCAGATTTGGCCATACTCCAGTGCAAGAAAGACTCAGCTGTCTGGCCAAGGACAACTTTATCTATGTTGTGGCAAATATGGGAGACAAGAAGCGATGCAATGGCAGTGACCCTCAGTGTCCTTCTGATGGCTGGTACCAGTACAATACGAATGTGGTGTTTGATTCTCAGGGAAAACTCGTAGCACGCTACCATAAGGTAAGGTTAACATGCAACTAATCAAGCTACTGGATGCTTATGAAATAAAATATGCAAGAAGGCATATGATTATGATTATTAGTGAGCATATTTTAGAATTGTAGCAGAAACAAAGCACAGCCCCCCCTGGTTTATCTATAGCTCCATTCACAACAGTTGTAAGGTGGAATCAATTCAGATGTTCATCGATGGCATAATGAAAATGTGGTATATATATATATATATATATATAGTGGAATACTATTGGTCAGTGAAAAGGAATGAAATGCAAAAAAAAGGATACAGCTGGGGATCAGTATGCTTAAAAAATCATAAATTTACTCTGATTTATGGCAACTAAAATACAGACTGTAAAAATGTAAATGTAAAATTGACATTTTGAGGTTATTTTTTATAGCCTTTGTCTATACTTTCAGGAACAGTGGTTGTTTTTTCCTGCTTGATATTTGCAGAATTCTTTACCTAATGAAGGGTTAAGGTTGTGATTGAAACGAAGTAAAAGTATGTAATTGTAAAAGTAAAAAAAATGGGGCCCAATGCATTAGCCTAGTAGCTAAAGTCCTCACCTTGAACACGCTGGGATGCCATATGGGCACCAGTTCTAATCCTGGTAGCTCTGCTTCCCAACGAGCTCCCTGCTTGCAGCCTGGGAAAGCAGTGGAGGACGGCTCAAGGCTTTGGGACCCTGCATCTGCATGGGAGACCTGGAAGAAGTTCCTGGCTCCTGGCTTTGGATCGGGTCAGCTCTGGCCATTGTGGCCACTTGGGGAGTGAATCCTGGAACGGAAGATCTTCTCTGTCTCTCCTCCTCTCTGTATATCTGACTTTCCAATAAAAATTTTTTAAAAATTAAAAAAAAAATAAGAAGAAGAAAGGAGGGGGAGTAGGGTAGAATGTAACACTATGTTTCGAAATCTGTGTTGTGAAAAACGTGAAATTTGCCACCTTATATATATAAATTTTTCAAAATAATGAAAGAAAAATGTGATATATACATATTTGCACTATAAAATACTACTCAGCCATAACAAAAAATAAAATTCTATCTTCTGCAACAAACTGGATACAACTAGAAATGATTATGCTCAGTGAAATAAACCAGTCCAAAGACAAATGTCATGTAAAAGCTAATATAGAATATAAAAACAAACATGTATAGGAATGGAATAGTCATTTTGTGATATGATTGTTTTAAATCCATGTTTATACCCCAGATGCAATGCGGCCTTTCTAATTTTTACTTGCTTAATACTATGGTTAGTGGTGAATTAAACGTGTGATTACAGAGTGGATTATAATCATGTCTTTGCAAAACCTGATGAAAGGGAGGGAAAGGAAGGTGGGGTGTTGAGAGGGAGAGGAGAAGTGAAGGAAGCATGGTTGTTCACTTGGATTTATATTATGGGATGCATAAAATCTGTTATCTTTATATTAGGGAAAAAGTTAAAAAGGAAAACAATTGGTTTAGTTATGGACAACTACAATAAAAGCTTCTGAAAATCTTCCCTCTGTGTTTAGAACACAGGAGTGTGTTGTTGGGAGTGTGAGAATCAGCAAGAGGCAATTGTATTGATATTTAATGCCATCTTATGGAATCTGTTCTGTAATTTTTAAGGAATTAAATTTAACAGGAAGAGAGAGTGACAGCAAGAGAGCCTGTCTACCCATCTGCAGGTCTCCCACTTGGGTAGCAAGAGTGCATCTGCTTGAGCCATCACTGCCGTGTCCCAGGGTCTGCAGAAGCAGGAAGCTGGAGGCAGAAGGCAGAGGTAGGGTGGGAGGTTGGTAAATGGACAGGGATGCAGGCATCTTAACTGTGAGACCAAATGCCTCACCCCGATTTTGTTCTTTTTAAGACATGACTTAGGCCTGGTGCAGTAGCCTAGTGGCTAAAATCCTCGCTTTGCATGCACCAGGATCCTATATGGGCACTTGTTCCTGTCCCTTCTGCTCCACTTCCCATCCAGCTCCCTGCTTGTGCCCTGGGAAAGCAGTAGAGGATACTCGAAAGAAGTTCTGGCTTCTGGCTGTGGATCAGCCTGACTCCACCTGTTATATCCATTTGGGATGTGAACCAGTGGGTAGAAGCTCTTTCTCTATCTCCTCTCTGTATATCTACCTTTCCAATAAAAACAAATAAATCTTTTAAAAAGGAAAAAAAAAAGACATCAGTTGACAATGGGTAGAATGAAATAGTCCCTCTTGATAGAACTAGTCTTGAGAAGAAAGGAGAAAGCAGAGCTCTCTGCCCACAGATGACAGTTGAATATAGTGACTCCAGGCTTGCTAGAACATCTTTTCTTCAACTTTTGTATATTGCAGCAAAATCTTTTTATGGGTGAAGAACAGTTCAATGTTCCCAAGGAGCCCGAAGTTGTGACCTTCAACACCACTTTTGGAAAGTTTGGGATTTTCACATGCTTCGATATACTCTTCCATGATCCTGCTGTCACCCTGGTGAAAGATCTCCACGTGGACACCATACTGTTTCCAACAGCTTGGATGAATGTTTTGCCACATTTATCAGCTATTGAATTCCATTCAGCTTGGGCTATGGGCATGGGGGTTAATTTTCTTGCAGCCAATACACATTACCCTTCAAAGAATATGACAGGTAATGTGTAATCCACAAGTTTGATGTAAACATAAAAACAAACAAAAATTGTTATATGTGCTCTGTAGCAGACTGCTTTACAATGCTTAGTTTTTGAATATCTGTCTGGTGATATACTATGGAATCAGTTTCAATTCAAATTATTTTGTAGATTTATTTATTAATAATAAATATTGATCCTTATTACTCCATATAGTAAAAATTTCTCTTTTGTCTTACTTCCTTTTTGAACAGATTTATTTATTTGAAAGGCAGGGTTACAGAGAGAGGAGAAACAGAGAGAATGGGATTTTCTGTCCACTGGTTCACTACTCAAAGGCTCACAATGGCCAGGGCTTGGCCAGGCTGAAGCTAGGATTTTGGGACTTCATCACGATCTTCCCAATTGGTGGCAGTGGCTCAAGAACTTGACCATCTTCCTCCGTTTGCATACACATTAGCATGGAGCTGGATCTGAAGTGGTGCCACTAAGACTTCAACTCATGCCCATGTGAGATGCTGGTGATGCAGACGGTAGATTAACCACAGTGCTGGAATCCCTTCTTGGTTACTTCTCCAGAGAGAGAGAGAGAGAGAGAGAGAGAGAGAGAGATGATTGATGCCACAAATGGCTGCAAAGGCCAGGGCTAAGTCAGGCTGAAATCAGAAGACAGGAGCTTCATCTGGGACTCGTGCATGGGTATCAGGGCCATCTTCTTTGATTCAAACCAGCACCCATATTGTTGGCTCAACATACTATGCCACAACATCGGGTTTCCCTTTATCTGACCATCCTTGTCTGCAAATTTTATGAAAGGTAATGAAATTTACAGCTTGGGCCTGATGTGATGGTTCAATGGCTAAATCTTTATCTTGTAAACACCAGGATCCCATGTGGGTACTGGTTTGTGTTCTGGCTACTCCACCTTCCATTCAGCTCACTGTTTAATGGCCTGGGAAAGCAGTGGAGACTCGCCCAAAATGTTGGGACCCTGTAGGAAATGCAAAACAAGCTTCTGGCTTCTGGCTTTGATTTGGCTGAGCTCCAGCAATTGCAGTCATTTGGGGAGTGAACCAACAGATGGTGGATTTTTCTCTGTTTCTCCTTATCTATAAGTCTGATCAGCCTTTCCAATAAGAATAAAAAAATCTTAAAAAGGAGAAATATACAACTTAAAGGCAATAAAGTAATAAGTAAAGAATTCCTTTTCACTTTCTTATACCCTGTTTCTAACGGCATTTCCAGGAAGTGGCATATATGCACCTGATTCTCCCAGAGCATTCCATTATGACATGAATACAGAAGAGGGAAAACTCCTCGTTGCTGAACTAGAGTCCCATCCACAACCCTCTGTAGTGAATTGGGCTTCTCATGCCATCAACCAAAAGCCACTGTCAACGGGAAGCCAAGAATTTAAGGGCACTGTCTTTTTCGATGAATTCACCTTTGTGGAGCTCACAGAAGTCACAGGAAATCACACAGTCTGTCAGAAAGATCTCTGTTGCCATCTAAGCTACAAGATGTCTGAGAAGAGATCAGATGAAGTTTATGCCCTTGGGGCATTTGATGGTCTACACACCGTTGAAGGAAGCTATCATCTACAGGTAATGTGCTGGTATCAGTTTCCAGTTTGAACATAGTCATATTTGCCTTCAGATATATAACAAATGTGTTTTTAAGAATGTGTATGTCCCACTTGGGTGGATATAGGTACACCCCAAAAGCCACTGTTTATTTAAAATGCAAATATAGCTGAATATAGAACAATATCATAAAAATATATGTATATATAGTTGAACAGCCTTCATTTTCATTTGCTAAATCTTGTAATTGTCAGTTTAATTTTGAACTAGTTTGAAAAGAGCAGAGCATTTATTTACAGTATCTGAAATGAAAATTAATCAAATCACAAAGCTTAGCTATTTTCTCTCTATATTTCTTAACATTCACCTTGCTTTATAAAGAGCTTGACACTGTGATTGTGCAGTTGGAATTATTCAACAGATTGGCTTGATGTGACAAAGGTGTAGACATCTCATAGCCCTCAGGATAAAAGAGGAGCTACTAGTGTGCTGAGACGGAATCTTACCAAGTGGCTCCTTGTTCCTCCCACTCTGCTCTTTTCCATTCTTGTCTGGCACCCATCCCATCTCACATACTTTCTTGCAATACTCTCCTAATAGGCTTTTCATCCCTACACTGTAGTTTTTTTTTTTTATTGTTGCTTACACTGTATTATGTAGTACAGTTTTATAGGCGCTGGGGATTCCCCCCACCCCTCCCCATATCCCTCCCCCCATGGTGGATTCCTCCACCTTGCTGCATAACCATAGTTCAAGTTCAGTTGAGATTCATTGCTTGCAAACACATGCCTAGCATAAAGTTCAGCGTCTTATTGTCCAGATA